CTAAATGTTCCAACACTTTATTACTAATCCGGCTTCACAGTCTGAATATATTAATCGGAGCTAAATGTTCCAACACTTTATTACTAATCCGGCTTCACAGTCTGAATATATTAATCGGAGCTAAGGGTTCCAACACTTTATTAATACTCCGGCTTCACAGTCTGAATATATTAACCGGAGCTAAATGTTCCAACACTTTATTAATATTCCGGCTCACAGTCTGAATATATTAACCGGAGCTAAATGTTCCAAACTTTATTAATATTCCGACTCACAGTCTGAATATATTAACCGGAGCTAAATGTTCCAAACTTTATTAATATTCCGGCTTCACAGTTTGAAGATATTAACCGGAGCTAAATGATCCAACGCTTTATTACTAAGAAGAAAAAATTCGAAACGTTAAAGACTGAGGATACAGAGAATATTTATACAGCAAAAAGAATGGACAGATTGAAGGTAATTTCGCCTTCTTTTATTACTTGTCTGCTTTCAGCATTTTGTATTTGCAATAAAACTTATGTCCTCTTTAAAATATTAGCACAACAATGTATTTGTATCTACGGTAAATATACTAAGGCTATCTACCACCAACCTCAAGTGTGAACTACTGAGCACGCAGTCAGTCAGCAGCGCCCTCCAACCCACGCTAATGGATTGATTATAATTTTACCTACAGCTTAAAGTGCAAGCAATATTTTGGGTTCGAATATGTCTCGCCAGCCCCACAACCCAGAGCTCTACCACCTGGCTAACCCACACCCATTGTCCTAAAGCAGACTTTCAAACATCAAAAACACACGTGGCCAAAAATAAAAGTAGAACATATATGTAAAAACAACAAAAGTGTATTGTTATATTAACACTGCTGCATCTTTCTGCATACCAACAAGAATAAAGCATTATTTTCAAACAGTCTTCTTTAAAGAGATACATGAAGGATATTTATGTCCCTAATTTTAAACTGCTGGACTAGAGGGAAGACACCCACTGTCAACTCCTGGCTGACTGAATAGAGGAAGTTGACCGTTAATCTCATAACACAACCATGATCCCAAAATGCAGAACGTGATTTTATGGAAACAAGAGGCAAACCATGGACCTCCAGAGTCACAATCTGGCAATCTAACCACTGAGCCACACCCGGTCCCGAGGAAATATACTGTAATGCAACATGAAGTTAATATGGCTGAATGGTTGCAAGCGAGAATACATGAAGTTAATATGGCTGAATGGTTGCAAACGAGAATACATGGAGTTGTTAATATGGCTGAATGGTTGCAAGCGAGAATACACGAAGTTGTTAATATGTTTGAATGGTTGCAAGCGAGAATACATGAAGTTGTTAATATGGCTGAATGGTTGCAAGCGAGAATACATGAAGTTGTTAATATGGCTGAATGGTTGCAAGCGAGAATACATGAAGTTGTTAATATGTCTGAATGGTTGCAAGCGAGAATACACGAAGTTGTTAATATGTCTGAATGGTTGCAAGCGAGAATACACGAAGTTGTTAATATGTCTGAATGGTTGCAAGCGAGAATACATGAAGTTGTTAATATGGCTGAATGGTTGCAAACGAGAATACATGAAGTTGTTAATATGGCTGAATGGTTGCAAACGAGAATACATGAAGTTGTTAATATGGCTGAATGGTTGCAAACGAGAATACATGAAGTTGTTAATATGGCTGAATGGTTGCAAGCGAGAATACATGAAGTTAATATGGCTGAATGGTTGCAAGCGAGAATACATGAAGTTGTTAATATGGCTGAATGGTTGCAAACGAGAATACATGAAGTTGTTAATATGGCTGAATGGTTGCAAGCGAGAATACATGAAGTTGTTAATATGGCTGAATGGTTGCAAGCGAGAATTCAAGATAACGAAACAAAACTCCACTACACCTCTGAAATAACATTTATTATTAATCTTTTCTTACATACCTTCACTATTACAATCTAGATACAGAAATGACAGAATTAAAATACCATAAATAATTAACATTTTAAAGTTTTCACAGGAACTAACTCCTACACGTTTGGCCACAGGCTTTGACATCAAAGTGTACTAATAAAGTTGAAATATATATTTAAACCTGCAAAGATATCGAAATTAAAGAATAGGTTGAATAAACACCACGTTTTTTTATATTTAAAGAAGGATGCTGTACAATCTGATGATGAGTGCTAGCTCAGAATGTCATTCTTCTTTAAATAAAAATATCAAAAACGTGGAGTTTATTCAACCTATTCTTTAACTTCGTATTAATAAAGCTAAGAAGCATAGTAACCTAACATGACTTACAACCAAATAAATCTGGATTCTTAGTAGCTTTTTAATTAAAACACACTTCCCCAACATGACTTACAACCAAATAAATCTGGATTCTTAGTAGCTTTTTAATTAAAACACACTTCCCTAACATGACTTACAACCAAATAAATCTGGATTCTTAGTAGCTTTTTAATTAAAACACACACTTCAATACAAGATCCATCAAATATTTTCAGGGGTAAACCACATACAGCCTTTTGGTCCACGTTCTAAGACATTCATTTCTAAACTGTGCTTCACGTTGAAGAAATTAAAATATCCATTTTTTTATGATTCATATAAGCCTAAAATTATCTGATTTTAAACATCTAAATTACAATGCATCAGTTATGGTCGGTAAGCAGCCATAAAATGGCTTTCAATAACTTACCAAGTGACTGTGTACGTGTTTCATCTTTAATATCATAAGAAGAGAATTAATGGATTGTAATATCAAACAATATTTAAAAAACTAATACAGTCAACCTGTGATGTTAACCTAACAATTGCCAGAAGGTTCACGTTTTTTAAAACTTCAGTACAGAACTGTGAAGAGTGATGTCCTGTAATTATGTGATTCTTATAATGACTTTAAAGAAGAAAAGACCAACCATGCAAGTACAATATTGAAAGGACCTCACAAATATATAATCCAATCAAACCGAAAGCTTTTTCTATCATAACTTAACTAATATCAAGACATATAATGTATACAAGCAAACTTAAGATTGCCATAATAGTAACCTTACATATACACGTGAAAGAATTAGAAATCTGTGTATACTTACAGTATATAGTGTGATATATATATATAAATAAGTAGTATAAAATACAACCAAAACTTATAAATCTGGCACTAAAAGATGTACATTACAAAGTTAACTCTAAGTTACTGATTAAACTCTTTCCCCTTTCTTCACAGTTTCCACAACACCTCACAAAATACAACCCATTTACAAGATTAAACAGAGAAAATTTCATTAAGATAGACTGCGAAACTATCTTCCACTGTCTTAATCAGAATACACAATATTTATCAAAAGAAATGGGAAGATTTTTAACTAAAATATTCAAATAATTATTACAACTATAGAACCTTGAAAGATATTTGATGATAAAGATAGCAAGTTTTTTTTACAACTCATCTTGACTTGTGTTTAAACACCAACCAATGCCGGACCTGACCGATAGCGAACATTATGCAAGGAACCATATGACACGCCTCTTACTTGAAAATAGGGGGCACACAACATGAAGTAATCAAATTCACCAATGGTAACATAAGTTATATCTAACCTACTGTACAACTAGCCATAATAATCAAAATATTTCGTATACTTTTAATACAGAAAGACATTGGCTACTATGTTGTAATTATATTCTGTTTTTACTGTGACAGTTCTAAAAGTGAATTATATAACTTCTTAGTGGGAAGGTTTGTAATCTAGCTACAGAAGAACAAAACACCATGACAGTTCTAAAAGTGAATTATATAACTTCTTAGTGGGAAGGTTTGTAATCAAGCTACAGAAGAACAAAACACTGACAGTTCTAAAAGTGAATTATATAACTTCTTAGTGGGAAGGTTTGTAATCTAGCTACAGAAGAACAAAACACTGTGACAGTTCTAAAAGTGAATTATATAACTTCTTAGTGGGAAGGTTTGTAATCAAGCTAGAGAAGAACAAAACACTGTGACAGTTCTAAAAGTGAATTATATAACTTCTTAGTGGGAAGGTTTGTAATCAAGCTACAGAAGAACAAAACACCGTGACAGTTCTAAAAGTGAATTATATAACTTCTTAGTGGGAAGGTTTGTAATCAAGCTAGAGAAGAACAAAACACTGTGACAGTTCTAAAAGTGAATTATATAACTTCTTAGTGGGAAGGTTTGTAATTACAACAAAATTATAGGCCTCCATTACTTTACGATCTATTCCATTAGGTGACTTTATAACAAAATACTTGCAAACTTGAGAGAATTTTTTTTATACAAGTCAGGTTACTTTAAACTCAACACAGTACTAGATATTTTAAAACACTCATGAAGACCAACCCTTGTTCTGTGAATTCTCTATCATTGAGAAGATGTCGACTCAACAGATGATACATCCAAAGTTTATTGTTTACAAACCAGATTCTGTTAAACCATTTTTCAAAAAAAAAGTTACTAACTAATAATTAGACTTAGGTGATCATATAGGCTATAAACCATGACAATGATTGATATCCCATAAACACAACATTACTGTATGATACATTTGTTATTTTTATTAATATACATGGATTTGTTGGTTATATAATGGAAGAACATCAAAGTGTTACTAGACTCTGACATACATGTACAGTTCTGGTTATCCTATCAACACAACATTACTGACACATATATTTATTATTTTTATTAATATTTTCATTTCTTGTTATATATGTAATGGAAGAATATCAAAGTGTTACCAGAATCTAAAATACATGTACAAATCTGGTTGTGCCATTTAATCACCAGGAAAAACAACAACAACAACAGTTTATGTAGTTTTTAGATGGGAACTAATTGAAGTTGTGGTTTTGTTTTATTTTTATTTATTAACTTAGCAAAGTAAAGTAAGCTTTTACTGTTTTTTCTTCTTCTGGAACTTAAACCATACACGTGTGATGTGTCAAAACCAAATTACTCTATCACATTCAATTTCTGAAACAAACCTAAAAGTGAAGTACCATTAAGCTCTAGACCAAGCATGAATAACCTCAACTAGTGTAACAGGTGTAATGAGTATTACTATCTATGCATTAAATAAATTAAATCCTAAACAAGTCAGCAACTGAAATCTCATCCTTTGAACTAAGAAAATACAACACATATATAAATTTTCAAATCCCTCGACAATTTATCATTTTCACTCATCACAGTAAAATCCTGGTTATAACGGTAATAAAACCTTTATACTTTCGAGACACGCACTAAAAAAATCCTATCTGTAAAGTAAATTGTCCAGGATAATTTTCTTTTGACACTGGTCAAAAAAAACTTGTTAAAAACATGAACAAGATGGCTTTTCCACAAGAGGTTGTTAAATGTACGTATCAGCTCTATTATTTTTTATACTATTGTGGATAGGATGCCAACCCACAAGATTACTTTACCCACATATATTTTAAACAAATGCTTTTCTTTAAAAATAAGTCACAAGTATTAGCGTTCCCAGCACACATCTTACTTTTATTTTTATTACAATTATTACCTATTGTTCCTTGGCTAATGAATAAATAAAGTTCATTATAGTTGGGTTTATTTTCCCCCCAAATAAAAGTAGTGTAAAAATCACACACACAGTAGATACCCTGGTCATTCTGAAATAAGAAACACCTGATACATGACTTACTCGCTCTCACTGCCTATAACTTCTTCATTCTAATGGTTTCTTTGACTGAATCTTCTATAACTTTTGTTTAGGATAAAGACAACTTTTCTTCTATTCTCTACAAAATTTCCAAGTGTTAAATTTAGACTCAAAAAATGCCAATGGACCTCTTGAGATCTTTATAATTTAATGGGAAAAAATCTGTTAGAAGGTTCGAAGGTTCTAGTACGAGAAAGCGATAATTGTGCACACATATATACTGTTCTTTATTGCAATTTGTTTTACTAAGCTAGTTCAACCTCTCACTTACCAGTCCTATAGAATTATAACCATTTTCTGTACAGTTCTTCTGTGACCATCATATATAAAATTAAAATGACAGCTATCTGATATTTACACTAATTTAAAACAAACTGTGTATTTTTTTGTTTTTTTCACCCAGTGAAATTGCTAAAATCCATCTTTAATTTGATTGCTGGAGCTTGGGAGGAATTTATTTTTTGACTCGAAGGTGCGGTGGAAGATTCTCGGCTTCCAACGTGAATTAGCGAACCCTTCCTTATGGCATTTTCAAGCCGCCCTCTCAGCTGGGGAGCTTGGGTCATGATGGAGCGGAAGTCCTGGGGATATTGAGGGCCCACTTTGATCAGCTGTTGCAAAGCATGGTCGTGTAACTTCTTCCTGTTGTGTGACGCCCCCTGTTGTAATGTTGGCTCTATCAAAAGGTTGACCACCAGGGGGATGTACAGACTCAGCATATGAATTTCTGCCAACAAGCACAGACAACAGTTACTCTATACTTACATACCCCACAGCAAAGTGTACACAAATTTGAAACATTATTTTGAAACAATTTTAACAGAACCAGCCTTTTTCAATGGTAAATTAAAAAACAAAAAATGCATTTAAGTGAATTTTTTTCAAGAACTTTTTATCAGCAAATGCACGTAATAATCTACGACAAAGTTCGGCAACACAGCGGACAGCAAATATTTTCATGTATACTTCACTCCTGTTACGTTCAACCATTTTCTATCTGATTTCCTTCATTACCAAGATCTTTAAAATAATATCAGGGCTTATCAGACAGGCATGAAAAAAAAAGAGCTATGTTTACTAGATCATTTATAAGCAGCACTAATAACTATTTCTACTGATGAATTCACGAAGTCCTAGGCCACAACAAAATGAACTTTCCAAGCAAGTTACATTATTATAATGAAATATAAAAGTAAAACAACTAGTGCTACAAACAAGTCAAAGCTTAGTGTTCAACACAAGCTTATTATGAAACATCTTATTTTTGTGTAACTTAGTACTTAGTTGAAAAGAATATTAAACAAATTATTTACGCTCTGGTCATTCACTTTAGATTGTTCACCAGAAGGAGTCTTTTTTGTTTTCTTCAATATTTACTATTCTAGATTATTTTCGGCTGTACCTTTCCTACAGTGAGTAATGTAAATTATGAAAAATACTTAATATCAAAAACATTTAACCCGCGTCCGTCGTTTGATATCATATGAATGTTTCATTTATATACGTGATTTTATTTCTATAATTGTACGGTAATTATAATTACACTAAGTGAAAGCAAAGAGGCATGCGTTATATGAAGTAATTTACTTCTGCCACATCCAATGCTGACACAGCCTTTTGTCCAAAATACCAGGACTCATCAGGCTGGCCATAATATGATAACAATAATAATGGTCTAAGTGTTTTATATATATCATCAATTTTCGTAAACAATAACTGTTATGGTATGAACCTGATTAAAGAAGTTAATTACAAATGAAGTCAGTAAGGTAGGTCAAAATATACAATATTCATACACTACAGAATCTAAAAGGTAAACCAGAGTACGGCATTTTAAGAATTATATAGAGGTGAAAATATTTACAATACTTCAACATCAAAACCTCTAGTAATTCATAATGTAACCAGTGATAGAACATTTACAAACTTATATTTCATTAAATTATTTCAAGACTAGCATTCATAAAGTCATATGTTCCATGCCGTTATTGGACACGGCAGAATATACACAAGTACTCCATGAACTGAGTTGGAGCACGGAATTAAAAGAAAAAAAGTAAACCCAAAGTAAATTTTAATATCCAATCAGAAAACTGAAAGTGAGATCATTCCTTTTTCTTGGTTACTTTAACCACACTTGATGAGCCCCACTTCACAAAACATCAAAACAATGTCTCATTAAACAATTTGTGTCAATAAGAAGACCAGAAAAACAATGGCTTATCACATGAAGATGGCACCACTACTCCATGAAAAATCTCGCCAGAATTCAGAACTGAGAAAACACACACACACCTGCAATTTTTAAGTTACTTACTTATAAACACTTTTTTCAAACTATGAATCACTTACTTTTATCAGAAGGAGCCAGAGTAACCAGTGTGTCTAGACAGGTCAGACATTCTGTGGCTAGACTAAACTGGCGATCAGTAACAGTAGACTGAGTTGTCAAATCAGCAGTCAACTGCACAAGTATTTCCACGACTCGTGGAGCAAGAGTATGGATGTATGGAGTGGCTATACTTCGATCAGGGTGTTGAAACATGGAACGGAGTGTCTGAACACATTTAAGCTGTACCTGTGGGCAATCAAACATGTGTAAAACACAAACTTTTTAAAAGGTTTTTCTAAACCTCCTTAACAATTTGAAAATAATAATGAAAAAAGAAGAAAAATTAATGAATAGAGTAATAATTACATATACTAATATTAGTTACATATATTAATAATAGTTAGATATCCCAGTAATAGTTAAATATACTAATAACAGTTACATATATTAATAATAGTTAGATATCCCAGTAATAGTTAGATATACTAATATTAGTTACATATACCAATAACAGTTACATATCCCAGTAATAGTTAAATATACTAATAACAGTTACATATATTAATAATAGATATCCCAGTAACAGTTAGATATCCAAGTAATAGTTAGATATATCAGTAATAGTTAGATATTCCAGTAATAGTTAGATATTCCAGTAACAGTTAGATATCCCAGTAACAGTTAGATATATCAGTAATAGTTAGAT